CACTATAAAAAGGGCTCGACCTTCTGCATTGAAATAAGCTTTAAGTTTTAAGCTTTGAAAAACTTTGCAACTATAGAACTTTGAATTTCCAATCACAATACCTTTTCAAACTCTCTACTCTCTGCTGAGACTTTTGTACTGCTTTGCAATTTGGCTTTTCAAAACCGTTGTTTTACTTACCTGTTTTCCCTAAAACTGGTATGTCCCAATTTAATTTCAGCTCCTTCCCTATGTGTTTACTTTACAGTTGCCATGTTCTGGTTTACTTTGTTGTTTATACTCTGCATTAAGCATGTTCTTTCTTTTATGTTTACTGCTTGCTATAAAATCCCCATACCCACATTCCCCTATGTGTGCTGAGTTAAAGTTCATGGCCTGGCAGCATCCAAATTGCTGCCCAGGTCTGAACCTGACCTTCAATAGGTCCTAACTCCCAATTTAAGCTGACAAGCTGGTCAGGGGTGTGCCAGCATCCCAATTGCTGGGATGACCACTAGTTTGTCATGGCTTTCCCTAATTCCCCCTCTACTGCACTTACACTTACTCTTAGGCTCTAGGTTCCTCCCCCCTCCTATGAGCCATGCCTTGTGGACCTTGAGTTCCCTTTGAACTTGGACATTGGAGGGCTGGCCATTCCACACTGCACCATAATCTGATCCTGCAAATGTAATTGGGTGTAAGCACTGCCTGGAGTTCATGAAGCTCCTTGGAACTTTGACACACCCAAAGGATGAGAAAGGCTTCGGAAATCTGATCTTTGGAAGTTGGCTTATTTCATGTTTCAGACTAGGAGTCTGAATTAGGCTCTCCTTGGTTGGAATTTTAACCTCTGATGTAATTTTATTTACTTTTCTGGATTCATTCAAGTTGTAATAATTTTGTAATACTTATGGGGTGTATAGTAAACAATGGGGGAGGGTCTCTTATGTTATGCATATGGGGTAGAAATCATGTTTTAGGTCTTTATTTCCACAACCACAACCTTTTCTTTAATGTTTCTGCATATAGAGATCCTGCCCATAGATTTTTCATATAGATATCCTGCCTATAGTTTGTCTCAATACTGCATATAGAAATCTTGCCTATAGTTTGTTTCAATGTTGCATCCTGCCTATAGTTTATTTCATTTCAGCATATAGAAGTCATGCCTATAAGATTCTGCATTTCAACATTTAGAATGCCTATAAGTTTCTGCATTTTCTACACATGCATATGACATTAGGCAAACAATCCATAGGTTAAGGAACAATCAATTGCATCCTAGATATCATGCTCATGGGATCCCTGTACTTACATAACCGTTTAAAATCTGTATCGCTTAGAATTCATGTCTATAGGAGCGATCGTTTAAATCCGATTCATCTGTGAGTCTAAAATTAGTAATGATATTGTTAACATCTGCAGAATTGGTTCATCTATAAAATCAGTAATCCTTCCTTAAAGTCAATATGTATCACCTTGTTAGACATCATGCCTATATGTCTCACCTAGGCAAACTATTAGGTAATCAATTAATTATACCAGTCTTGAATAATTACAACCAGCAGGCAGGCCTAATTCGGACTTCTTATCTGAAAATATATGATAGATCAGCCACCCCCCTTTCGTTTAAGTTTAATTAAAGACCTAACCAGTACTTGCAAGTCATGCTAAATAATTTCTGCTTTGAATGAGGAGGCCTATTTGAGCGTTAACTGCTATGTGTTTTCCCTTTAACTGCACTTATATGTTTTGTTTGTCGCACTAGATTTTGTCCTTTTAAAACTTCAGAAGCCAATATCCCTTCCCTTTAGGAATAGTAGTCCCAACTGCCTCCGGGACTGATAGGATTGGGACGGGTAGTAGCATGCAATAAGTAACGAGACTATTCCGCGTTTTAGTACCTTAACGGGGTGGGAAAGGGTAGACATGGATATGATGGTCATGCTATAACACCACGCGTATAATTGGTTACCGGGTGTTGCGTGGATGATCCATGTTATTTATAAACCTAGGACCCCCCCCCCCCCTTATGTACTTTCGTTATTGTTTTCTTTAAACTGTCAGTTTCCAGCTCTTTAAACCTTGTATTTCGCTTCAAATCATTTAAAACCTTTGTGAATTTCCAGCAATGTTTTTTCTTCCAAACTTCCGCCCTTTTCATCTCTTTGTCTGCTTATTTGCACCCGTTATTTGATCCCCATTTTTTTGCACTTATATATTCTTTAAACAACTATGAAATCGACTAAATCCCAAACTTCAGCTTGTTACTTAAGCTTTATACATTCCCCTACTTGTAATCGTTGTGTGTGGAAATTGTCTTGTATGTTTACTTGTTTTAAAGTCACAATTGTAGCATGGCCAGGAACCACACTAATGGATCTTGGGTGGTGCCTATTAATGAAAAATTTATCAGACATAATATTTGTAAGAGTTATAAAATAAAATAAATGCATAGTCCATAATATATTTTATTCAAATAATAGCCAAAATTACTTTCAAACAACATCAAATAAATAAACACAAAAAAATTTGTTAACTTTTTCTCTCCTAGAAGATTAAACTTGATAATTAGCCCACATGTCAGCTGCTATGCCATCTCTAATCAACTCCCCCCTTCTAAACTCCTCATTACTTTCCCTAGAATTTGGTGGTTCTTCATGCACATCATTATCATTCATAAGCTCCACATCAACTTGTGCAAGTAACTCATCATTTGGATCTGCACCTTTTAAGTAGTTGTGCAAAATACAACATGCAAAAATAATAAGCTTTTGGGTTTCAACACCATATGACTGTTCAGTTGAACTAGAAATTATAGGAAATCTCTTTTTAAGAACTCCAAAAGCTCGTTCAATAGCATTACGCAAAGATGCGTGTTGCAGATTAAATAATTCACGAGGATTTCGAGGTGGATTTCTTGAATACTCTTTCAAGTGATATCGCTCCCCACGATAAGGCGTAATAAGTCCACTTCTCAACATGAATCCAGCATCAACAAGGCAGTATTTTCCTAAAGATAAAAAGTAAAAGCTTTAATTATTTATTCATCACATCTAACTTTCCCTATATAAATATATAAAATATTTACCTTCTGGAAGTTTTAGCGGGTCTTGTCTATTTAACGCTTCTTTCATGATTCTTGAATCAGATGCCGTCACTTCCCAACCAGCTAACACATATGTGAATTTTAAATCAAATGTGCATGAAGTCAATACATTTTGTGTTGGATAATCTTTTCTTCCACGGTATCTGGGTGCTTCACGTTGTGAAACTTTAACACGTATATGTGTTCCATCAATTGCACCAATACAATCCTGACATTATTATAATAAATTATATGCAATCAACCTTGAATTTAGCTAAAATTTCAATAAAATTGTATTTGTGTTCACCTTAAAATATGGGTAGAATCTTGGGCTGCTGGCAATTTCAGAAGGAACTTGAGAGCCATCAGGTTGTTTAATAAATTTTTCATATAACCCCAAGATCGCTCGCATGACAATATGAAAATGACGACTAACCGACTCCCCAGATCGTCGAAAGATAAAAGCTAACTCGCGATTCGTCGTATTATGTGCTAACAGGTAAAGTGTTTTTGCAACTTGCTCTTCAACTGTAGCTTGAAGTGTTGGTCTAAGATCACCCTCTCTAACTAACATCTCACATAGATCGGTAAAAGCTAAAGGGGTCATTCTTATAATATTACGGCAAAGTTCAGTTGAGAATAAATGACTCAATAATTCATGTCTAACTTGTTCACTTTCCAGTCGTATATCATGTGTGATCGTACGTCGGTCATTTTCAATTTCACGTACATAAGTCCAAAACCAAATAGCTACTAAGCAAGCAGCATATGTAGCTAAAGAGCTCACTTGTTCCAATATCTATCTATTATTTTGATTATTCCGATCAGCCATCTATAATAAAATTAAGTGAGATACATCAACCAATTAACTACGTAAAATAAATATGAACCGAAAATAAACTCTTCTTCATAGAACACATTATGAAGTATGAAGGAGAATTCAGATACATACTAATAGGATTGTACAAAAAAGAGAATTCTAGTCAAATATTTTATCACATTACACTAAATTAATTAAGTAAACAGAAAAATATATAAGCAAATTTATTTGT